TCCGTGAACCCACATGGCTTATGGATACCGGTGCCACACACCACATTGCCTCCAACCCAGGTACTCTTTCTCATGTCTCTTCTCAAGTTTTATATTCACCTCACTATATCACTGTTGGTAATGGATCTAAGGTTCGCACTACGGCGGTTGGTAACCACACTCTTCCCACCACCCCCCCTCTCCCTAAATAATATCCTAATTTCTCCCCATATCACTCATAATCTTATCTCCGTTCGCAAACTCACCCGTGATAATGACTGCACTGTTGAATTTGACGCTCATGGTTTTTCTGTGAAGGATCGTCAGACGGGGACCGTGATGCATCGGTCCAATAATGCAGGTCCTCTCTACCCGGTAGATCATCCAACCTCTGCTCAAGCTCACGTTTCATCCGTAGATCATCAAACCTGGCATCGTCGCCTCGGTCATCCAAGCCCAGCGGTCCTGCGTGGTGTCTCTTCTATTTTTCCTTTCTTTAAAAATCATCAACAAACTCTTTGTCATGCCTGTCAATTGGGAAAGCATGTGCGCCTCCCATTTTACTCTTCGAGTCGAGTCTCTTATTTTCCTTTTCAACTTTTGCATACAGACTTATGGCAATCACCTGTGCCAAGTGTTACTGGTTTTAAATTTTATATGTTGCTATTAGATGATTTTTCTCATTATTTGTGGGTGTTTCCTTTAAGACGTAAAAGTGACGCTTTCTCTCACCTAAATTCCTTTGTGGCATATGTGAAAAATCATTTTAATACAACAATAAAATCTGTTCAATGTGACAATGGAACTGAATACAGAAATGCGCCTCTTAAAAATATTTTTGACTCCTTGGGTATTCTATTCCGTTTTTCTTGTCCCCATACCAGTCAACAAAACGGACGCGCCGAACGTACCATTCACACTCTTAATAACACCATCCGTTCGCTCCTCTTTCAGGCTCAACTTCCCCCTGAATTCTGGGTGGAAGCCCTCTATATGGCCGCCCACCTCTTCAACATTCTCCCCACCACTGTATTAAACAACCATACTCCTCACTCCGTTCTCTACAATTCTCCCCCAAACTACTCTCATCTTCGCGTTTTCGGTTGCCTTTGCTACCCGAATATCTCCGCCACCGCCCCACACAAACTTGCACCGCGCTCCTCCCGTTGTGTCT